CAATCCAATGCCAAGCAGCCCACTGCGGCCACTTGCTCTAGCAGCCCACTGCGGCCACTTGCGGCCACTTGCGGCCACTTGCGGCCACTTGCTCTAGCAGCCCCCTGCGGCCACTTGCGGCCACTTGCGGCCACTTGCGGCCACTCGAGTGGCTGCAAGTGGCTGCAAGTGGCTGCGTTTTTTAAATTCAAATACCGCGCGTTTTGCAACCTCAATGGAACATGCTACAAGTCGCATCTTCGTCGCAATCGGATTGCATACATTATGCACGTCTTGCTCCACATGTGGCTTTGCAACGTTGCAGCCCTAAATACAAAACGCACTTGTTGGTTGGGCGGCAAAGAGCAGCTAGGTGACCAGCTAAAATTATCGACAGTTCAACTTCTCACTACAAGCTTGCGAAACTTCGGAGGTTTAATGTCTCAGTTTCACTGTAAAACAAAGACACAACATGACAAAGAATTTGTTGAGAATTGTGGATGCTCTGAAATGCCCCCGCATCATCATCTTCAAGGGATGTTCTGAGACGTACCTTCAAGAATGAAAGCCTAACTTACAACCCTGCTCCATACACTTGGGGCAGTGCGGATCCGTTTCGCACCTGTCTAGCCTAGCTGATCTTTATGTTGGTGGCGCAAGGGCTGATGACTAATGCCGCGCCTGTTGGAAAACATGTGGAGCTCTGCAGGGCTGCCTTGCATTCCGGCCGACTCAAGGGCTTCCCAAGTCCACCACTTCCGTGCCTGCGAACAAGTGAACCCTGCAATTCTTGTGACCATATAGAACGTAGGTTGAGGCAGAAGCATGACAGTCATGGAAAACGTGGTGGAACACAAATCAAGTAGATATAGTTGGAGAATAAATTTCAACAAGTGTCCTGAAATACTGTTTTCAGAGCTTGAAAAAGAGCTAGTTAGGGCACTTGTACATATTCAGAAGTAAAAAACTACAAAGCCGCAAAAGCCAACAAGCAAAACAACTCCAAAACGGCTAGGAAACCAAAAGCCACAAGAGCCACAAATAAAAGCTACAACAGCCACAAAAGCTACAAAAGCCGAGAAGCCACAAAAGCCGCAAAAACAGTTGCAGCATACTTTATAAGTCATAAACACCAAAAACCACTAAAGCCAAGAAACCAAAAGCCACTAAAGCCACTAAAGCCAAGAAACCAAAAGCCACTAAAGCCACTAAAGCCAAGAAACCAAAAACCACAAAAACCAAGCCAGGAAGCCAGGCTGAAAAACAAGAACAAAAAAAAACGAAAGATAATTCCACCAAAAAATGCCACTCCATATCTTTTCGTTATCAAACAAAGTTTTCATAGATATGGTTTAGTTCTTCCCGCTTTGATTTATGATTTGTTTTTATGTTTGCAATCTACGTAATTGTTTGTCATTCCAAACTGGAATGCTCCTCGGTCACTCATGTAAATTACAATGTCAATTTCTTCTGTAAATTCCACTAACGATTTCGGACTTGGTATAGATACCATGTAAATCCCAATGTAGGTTTCCAAAAAAAGATTTACTTGAGTGGTCACTTCACTTGCTAAGATTCTGGCTTTACTTTGCCATATACTTTGAACATACAGATAAGCAAAATACATGTTTCAATTAACTTGAGCATTCTGAATTAACGACATTCACTAAATAATGGAAAATATGTTAATGGATGTCTTTCCAACTATCAAATTCTTGGAAACTAGATTGAAAAAATGTGCACTTTTGATGCACTTTCTATTTTTCACACAATTTACTAATATCAAGAAAACCAAAAAACAATTACGTAAATTCTTCACTTTTAGTAAATTTATTATTTAGGATTAGTAAAATTTACCTAGCTTTGCAGACTCCAGGTAATTGGGCGCCAATAGACGGGAAGACCATGCTAAATCCTCCACTGCTTCATCGTCACTTTATCCACTCAGTGGCCAGTGGTGTGGAATCAAGGACCCGGCCGCACCGAAACCAAGAGGTGGATGTGGGCAAAGCAGACCTGCGCCAGAGCACCCGCACCAAAATCTCAAGTGGCGTACTGAATGATATGGGACTATGATGATTCATGATGTTGCGTCCTCTATTTGGTTTGAGTTCGGTCATCTGCTTCTGCAAGATTCGCAAAGTGTGCCTGATCTTGTTTCATAAAATTGGAGGATCCAGGATCCACTTGCTTTCTTGCAAGGCCACTGATCCCCCAACACTGCGACCTTTCTATATACATCCCTGCTGCAGCCTCTTCGTAAGTCTTGACCCCAAGTTCAGTTGCTGTGGCGTCAGCAGAGCGTTTCCTACTCGTGATTTTAAGCCTGCCAAAAATGAAGCTAGAAGGTGGGCTTCGCAATATTCATAAGTTTGTAAGGCGGCTGTATGTGACTGTATATTATATATATATATATATCCCTCTCAAAGCTCGCTTGTCCACTGCGACTCTCCCATTAAGCAATCTGTTATTCTTCGCGCCTCCTTTCCTCAAGACTAGCCGAATTCACCAGCCTTGCTGCACTGACCGTGCTGTCTTTCAGAAAAGAATGTATGGTTCATAAAATATCATGTGATATCATGAAATTCTGTGGCTTCCTACAATAATCGGCTTTCCCGCATGCGCAACTGACATCCATTGGCAAACGCGCCAAACTTCTTCCTGTTCAGCTATCCAGTGGTCGTCCTCTCTGGCCAGTGCTCTTGACTGGTCAGACTCTATTCTTGTAGCGAGGCTGGCACTGATGAAAGGAGTCTCAAGCAACAGCCACAATCGTGCCCTTTGCCTGGAAACAAAGCAGAACCAAAGGACCCCACATTGCCACTCCTCACTAATATGAAACTGTTACTACGAATTAATAGCGCAGGACATGACTCATGTCTGATTCGACGTACCACAGAATGCTGCCGCTGACAACTGCCTCAAACCCCTGTGAAGACCATAGTGAAGAAGAGGTCTGAAATGACCACATCAGACAGAAAGAACTCTGCCAGGAAGCTCGGCCAATCCTCCCTCAGGTAATTGAAAAACTTGCTGATCAAGGTCAGGAAATCCATGCCCAAGGCATATGAAGCCATGACCAGAAGAGGCACGAGGTAGAAGACCCAGCCCCACAGGAAGTACCAGCCCAAGTGAGTTAATCTACACTTCACGATGATGCCAAGGAGCAAGGCAGGCAGGATTAAGAACGCCGTGAACCAACCAACGACCTCTGTCTTGGGAGAAGCAATGAAAGCAACGGTCCCTGCCAAGGGGGACAGCCGGAGCATGCTGCTCAAAGTCACCCACATGAGCGCGTTGACCAAATGCGCATTCTTGGGATCTGAAGCCAAGAAGAAGCCAATTCGAAAGGAGGTCCAAGCCAAGCAAACCTTGCCATCTTTGAATGTGTCTGAAAACTGCCAACAAGAGCTCTTTATTATCAGCAGAAACTTGAAAGATATCCAAAACTCACACCCAGCAGCCAGAAGAGGTAGAAATTCCATGCCAGCTTTGGCCAAAAGCCCAGACCCAACAGCCGACTTCATAGACCCAGCCAAGGCTTTGCAAAACTCGCTGCCACAGCGCTCAAGCGATCCGAAATCCAGCAAGGCCACATAGTCTGGGAGATTGAACACCAGCAGCCCACCAGCATAGAAGAAGCTTCCTCACATGATTATAAGAAACTGATAGAATAACATTATGTATTGGAAGTTAACTTTCAAAATTATATATGATATATGTAATCATCATAGTGTCATAGATCAAACCAACATCCAACCAAAATCTACGAAAGATTGTCAAAGTTTGCTTGGCGCACATCCAAGGCTTCCCAGAAAACCTAGCCTCCTGGACCAGGCCAGAAACTTGACTGCAGGAATGCCACATCGCATGGCGAGGCTCGAGCCCAGCATGTCTGACAGCATGGCCAGGGCAAAGCACCCCGCGCCTACCATGCTGCAAAGCTGCCATGCAGCTCTAGCTGAAGCGTACTCGTCCACCAGTGGGTTTAGCACAGAGTTGGAATCATGAGGGATCAGCGCATCTGAGCCAATCCATGAAGCAACCAGACTGTTCAAGTCATCCCATGCGGTGTGGGTAAGGTTGTGCCAGATGTTTCGCAGAAGGCCAACAAACAAACCAAGACACCCCAACACTGCGCAAAGTCTCCGCCATTTGATTCGCGCTCCAAATCGTGATGACTTGGCCTCTTCCTTCTCCAACATGCAACGGATGAAAAGGGTCAGCACCGAAACACAGTCAGCTTGCGCCAGGTGTATTGGTTCCTGAAATCACACCAAAGCAAGGCATGGTGGAAGGCTGAGGGTGCTTCCCAGTTACTTGCTGGGGGAAAAAGATTGGCGGAAGATTTGTGTGACTTGCTGCATACCCGCCAAGCATCGCCGTTGCGCATCACAAGGTTCTGCACTCGGGGAGGTCCCAAACCACCAAAGAGCAATACAGCCAAGGATGACAGGCATACTGTCGTAATAGCGGAGCAAACCAAGAAGGGGAGAAGCCAACCATCCTTGCATGCAACTGAGGCTCTCGTGCAAAGCAGTTCTGAAATCTGAAACGAATGTCAATGTGGTAATTTTAGTTTTAAGGGACTGTCCACTCTATCCTGTCTCTATCCATCCTGTCCCTAAAAATCACCCAAGAAGTCAGTCTAAGCAAAAATCAGGCCAAAACCAGACCATGCAATGTCAAAAAACCTTTTTGATCTAATGATCAGCTTGGTCTCAGCCACAAGCCACCCAATAGCGGCATTGAGACATGCTTGCAACGTACACAAACTGCCCGCGTAGGACAACAACCATCTCTGCGCGAAGCCGCCAGCTGATGATAGACAGCAAAACCACACCGCATTCAAAATCCCACTGCATATGACCAACCTCACTTGCCAAAGACCGTAGGCCGTAAGACTTAAGATGACAGACATATTGAGGATCATTCACCCGCCGCTTACGTCTTACGTGTCAGATTGCCAAACCTGCGAACCTACATCTGGTCACCTGTTACCATGGTTCTCTGCACTTTTTTCAATTACTGCAAGCCAGAAACCAGAGCAAAATTGCCGAAGCATAGCCAGAGTGGAAGTAGGCAATCGCTAGAATCAATATGGTAGTTTGCTGAATCAGCAACATTCCCAAGACCAAGGAATTGAGACTTGGTCCACTGGGGTTCATGGGCGCTGCCCGTGCCTTCCGCACAGAAGCCGCCAACAAAACCGCTGCATTCGACAGGCTGAGGTTTATCATCACAGGCCCTATCCAGCTGAGGACAACTCTGATGCAAAAGGCCGCGGAAGCAGATGATGCCACAACTCCAGACAAGAAACCCAAATCACTAGCACTGTGTTTCTGTTTCTCAAAGGAAGTGGAGAACTCCTCCTGCCAAAAGCAAAAAGCAAGGAGAGAAACGGCAGCACCTGCTTCTGTGAGTAGAAACACCACCAGAGATCTCCAGCCTGAACCTGTCGACGTGCTAACACCTTCCTGCGGCGCAACTGTGCCACAGCGAATACGCACATGCTGCAAACACCCAAGAAGAGAGACAAGCAACAGAGTTGCAGCGCAAATGAAGAAAATCATAGCGCCCCTGTAGCGAGATGTCTCTACAATGCGATTTGCAGCAAGCCAATCGAAGTTGCTTGTGTCCATCGTCTCCTCGATGTAGTTCAATTGACCTGCCAATGGATTGCACTTCATCCAAACCAGCCCACAAGCTGTAAGAAGGGCAGATCCTAACAGAAGGCTGCCGTGGAAAATGTTCTCCTCTTTGAGGCGATCTCTGCTCACGCCCACCCGCAATCGGAGCCTTGAAGCCCACAAGCAGCTGCCCCGTACATGGCCACGAAAGCACAAGAGCAGTCCCATAAGCCCAAGCATTGGCAAGGCTACAATCAACTCCCATAGTGCTGTGTTTGTTGGGTCCGGAAGATCAGGATCTGGAACATCAGGACCTTCCGCACACGCTTGTAGGATGGGCAATGTGCTCAGAGTTGCTAGTACGACTTCTGAATACCCGCTGTGGTTGCCCAGATGCGTCTTTGGCACCTTGTGCTTTCCCAGGGAAACATTCTTCAAAGCGCATGACCGGGCGGAGCAATCTTCGCAGAAAAGATTGCAATGCACCTTCGGTCAGGGCTCACCACGGTCCCAGAACCAATCTAACGTGGAATGGACATCTTTGAAGTGGTTGAAAATCAGCTAATCCAAAATTTCAATTTCGATCGGGCTACACTAAGTGATACAACATCATCATGTCACACCAGCCCTGATAATCCAAACCCGCTCGACCTCCTTTCGCGGCAAGGCTTCGCATGCCAGGTCCCCTTCCATTCCACACGCGCTGCACTTATCGACTCTTGTGGCCCTTATGAAGGGGCTCCTGCACGAGCTCAAGTGGACAGCAAGCACCAATCTGACTTCAGACAGTAACACACCAAATCTAGCTACATCAAACACCATGGCGTTGGACGCATTTCTACTCAACATTACTCAACCAGTCACACATGATGGCAAGATGCCAGTAACCCGCCCTGCTTCCTGCTGTTCTGAAGGGAACCCAAAATGGGTTCCTCTGCCGGATAGCTCTGCAAACCACCCACCTGGGCTAGACAAATGATTCCAGTGTGGGAAAATAATGGACAATGTTCTATCCCTAACAAATTCCCTCTGTGGGCTATGAAAGTCCAAATCCGGTGGAACTTTTCTCTGATTGAAAGGAGGCTCACACCACCCTCAGTATTAATAGTATTATATTTGGCGCCAGCTCTTGAACTGCCAATCAACAAAGAACATGCACATGCAAGCACGGGACACATCCATCAGTTGTTGACGACAGGACAATGCAGGGGCCACTTACACTTGATGCCAGGCAGGTGCATCTCCGCAAAGGAATCCAGCGTTTCAAACGACATCCTGAACAGTTACTTGATCTGCAGCCAGAGTAGAGGTACCAACCATGTTTGTAGCTCCGGAGCCTGAAAGCTGGAGCTAGAGGTGGATGATCACTGACTGCACAAGTTTCATCCGCTACATTTGCAAAAAGGATGCTCTCGCCAGAAACGAAGTTGCACAGCTGGTTTGAAAATAAGCTCACCCAAGCCCCGGTCGAAGTGGGTCTTTTGGAAGCTGGGCTTTCTGCTGCGCTGCGACGTAGTTGATGAAGCTGTCTCACTTCAAGTGGTCTGGTGAGTCTGGTCTTGAGCTGCATCTCAGGACATTGAAAGCCGGAGCATGATTCATAGAAGTCAGAACTTCCACATTGGCAATGCCAAATCAGCTGCACATAGCCGGGCTTCATCTTCCCCCGCGGACTTGTGCTAACTGCAGGATGGGGTGCAAAAGGAACCAAGGCACAAGCTGACGATCCACCGCCGCAAAATATGATGGGAGTGCTGCTGAGCTGGTCGTTCATGAGAGGGAGGCCTTTCCGCATTGCATGGAGCGCCAAGGCCTTCAATTCATTGCCTGGACCCAAGAAGGCAGGAGAATGGAAAGTAGACACATTGGCACTTCCCATGCTCACATTTAAGACTTGAAGGACGATTCCAGCTGTGTGGTCGTTCGGTACATAGGCAGAAATAGAGATTTCCTCTAGGACATTGCTGAAGGTGGCATTCATCAAGCTGAAGTTTGTGGCGTTGCCAGCCATTCTATCATCGCAATCTATCTGCAAGTGTAGGTGGTCTTGCCTCATGACAACTCCAGCCCTTTCTTTGGAAATATCAACTTCGGGGCACGACATGTCAATAGAGGAGTAGAGATGAGCATCTTTCACAGTGCTCGAGTTGTGAGGGCGGAGCATGCCTGCATAGTGCATACCGCGGGCGAGCATTGTGAGGAGCTCTTCGCTAAAGCGCGCTCCCCCAAGCAGCACCAGCTGCTCTGAGCCAGTTCCCACGGCTCGTCTCCACGGATCATCCATTGGCAGCGCGTTGTGTTTACCAGTCCAAGATGCAGCTGCATCTGGAAAGGCTTGGACACTGCCGTTGGCTGCCCTTGCATCTACAGTGCATGTGGCATGCGCAATCACATAGCTTTGGTTAGAAGGTGTGCTGGAATGCACAAACTGCAAATCTTTCAGCTGGTATGTCAAGTTGAGCTCCGGGTGCAAAGACATGGTCTGCGGCAGTACATGCCCCTGCTGCAAGTTCTGCTCGACATACTTCTGAAGAGCATCTTTGACTCCATCTGACAAGTCAGAGTGCCAATTCGCAAATAATCTTACAAGACAATCTGGATCACATCCATCCACTCTCGGAGCAGCAGGCCAGGACACTGTTGTTTCTGGTTGCAGTTGCAAACTTCCTTGTGCATTTCGGACATGCACCAAACTCTGCACCCTAAGCACTCCTGTGATGGTGACATCGTCATCGCAGACTTTGTCCGTCCAACAGACAATACAGCAGGTTTTTGATTCGATCTTGAGATGGCCAGGCGCGCTGAACTCAAACTCTGCCGACAGCATGAATCTGCCTATTTCCTCTCCACCTGCAGCCTTCAAAATCTCAGCTTGTGGTGCCTGTGCATTTTCATGTTCACACATGTGCGGTGCACCACGAGGATTGCTTCCAACAGGCACTCGGACGCAGACGTTCCGTCTGGAGCGATAAGTTGGAGAGTTGAAATCAGAGTCTGCAAATACATCATAGAACCACCCTGAATCCACCTTCTCATGATGCAGGTCCTGGGGGTTGGCCATCAGCAGGTACTGGATGACTTCGGCCCCAAAACTGCCTTCTCTCAAAGGAAGATCAGAGAGAAACTCCTGGGGCAGGAAGTACTGGAAGTCATAGGCCGGCACCTAGGTATAGGGTCAACATGGATAAAATTGGGTGTCCCAAAGTGGAAGTAGCTCATTTCGCACTATGTTTTTTCCACCGGATTAATGGCCAAACATGTGATTTGACCCATGCACACCTTCGGAATCACAAGCAGCGACAGAAGTACTCTGGCCCAGGCAGTTGCGCCAAGCAAGCGGAACTCCATACTGCTTCAAGAGGAAAAGAGCGTCAATGCAAAGCAGCTTTGATGGTGCAGCGGCTGACAAGGACAAGTTACTAAGTTGATCAGCTCTCAGATCTATGAAAGTGCACAGATGACAAGTTCATAGTCCATGCAATCCACGCAAAGCTCTGAAGATCTCTGAAGTTAAGGTAAACGTAGCAGTAGCAGCTGAAGTGATAATAGGGCAAGAAGGTTTCGTTTCACCCAGTCAACTCTCTCCATAGCGTGGACGCAACCAAGTCTGCTGGCCTGGCTTGGGCATCAAACATTCACGTCGGTCTCGGCCTCATCACTATGCACTCTATACTGCTCGGGTGAACAAACAAAGCCAGTTGGTCACAGGGCAAAAAGCATCAATGCTAATCTATGCACCCAATTTTTGCAGAAACAGTGTTTCAGCTTCCAGCCAAGGTGCCAAAGCACATTGTTAATTTGCCTCACGAGGGGCTTACACATCTGTCAGGGCCAGTTTGTTCGTCAAGCAGTGCATCTGTTAAATCTAAAGTCAGCTGCTCATCGCACGCCTATATACATTGTCGCATCAAAGTCCGCCCCCTTGTGCAATCCTTGTCAAAATTAGGTACAGTGCCACACACGTTTTCAAATCCAACATAGTATTTGGAATTCCTGTGAGAGCAGTCGTTGCTTCCACGTGTGGTTTTGGATTGGGTTTCCTTGCAAAGTGTGGAGGTTTCACCGGGCACCGTTTCCTTACAGTTGGGATATGATTAGAAATGGCAGAAAACACCATAATCCATCAGGATTTAGTAGGTGTGCGTCAATATCTCACTACCATAAAGACCTTGGCGCACTGCACGTGTTCATCCATGCTGTTGCATACTGCCTCAAATTTATCAACCTGCGCGATGACTCATGGACATATGTTGGTGCAACACGCTGACCGTCAAGTGATAAGATATTCGAAATTCTTTCTTTGTATGGTGTCCACCCGGCAATCCCCAGCACCTTCCGCTGACCTCGGGCATGCGGAATCAATCTGACAGCGGCCCTTGCTTGAACATGTATTTTTGATAGTTTTTGCGTTTTTTGTGGTACATTAAACATGTTCCTAGTCCTGATCCACTCTGTAAATCGCGGAATAAGTGGTCGTAGTCTCATGATATTTATCATCGACGTTTGAACAAACAGGGCGGTGGTCAAATGTTGTTTAAAACGCCAGCACCGGCACCGGCTGCACAGAAAATAGGGGCCACGTGTGGCCACCAGGTTACCACAAATCCGTGATTCACAGTGACTATTTGTGATCGTTCATGTGCTGATCAACCATGGAACCACATCAACCAATTTCCATGACGAAAACACAAAGAGCGGACATGCACGGAAGTAATGCAACAATCCTATCAATCCTATGTCTAAAGACAGACATCGGCCCAACCAAATACATCTATAATCCCTTCCCCCTCAGTACTAAACCCCCCCCAAATAATAAACACCTCAGGTAGTTTTTAGTATTAGGGAGGTATTTATTATTATGGAACCAAAGCGGACCCTAATAATAAATTCAAATTTTAAATGAAAACAACTAATTATTTGTTTCAGTTTCAAAATCAATGAAAACAACTTATATAACGCAATTAAAAATATTGCAAAAAAATCGATTTCGAAGCCGACCCTAATAATAAATTGAAACCCTTAATAAAAAAGTTTTTTTCGCTTTCAAAATCAATGAAAATTTCCTTGTATAACGCAATTAAAGTATTCCCAAAAATTGGATTTCGAAGCGGACCCTAATAATAAACTGAAACCCTTAATAAAAATATTTTTCCGATTTCAAAATCAATGACCAATTCCTTATATAACGCAATTAAAATCCGCCCACACCGCTTTGGCGGTGAAGGCGTGCTTATTGGGGGGCAACAGCAACACTAAATGCTCAATGACATTTGTTAATATAGCAGTCGCTATATCAGCTTTAGCTGGGGGGGGGGCAAAAACGGTTTCGCACCGAGACCAGAATACGGTGGTGTTTTCGACATGTTTCGAGGATTTTTGGGTGTCTGAGCGCAAGAGGGTATTGAAATGGAATTTTGGGTCATTTTGGTAGCTTTCCGGCAATGGAAAAACGGCCAAAAATGAAAAAAACATTGTACATAGCAAGATTTTGCAGGGTTTTTGGATGCCAGAGCATTGAAAACACTGCAAAAACAAGTGTTTTGGACTGACGTTATAGCAAAAAACGTGTAAATTACCGTATGCTTGACTGGAAACATTACAAAAACATTGTCAAAAGCAATGTTTTGGAAGGATTTACTGCCTTTATGGCAAAAAACGTGTAAATTACCGTCTGTTTGACTGGAAACATTGGAAAAACACTGTCAAAAACAATGTTTTGGAAGGATTTCTTATATATATATATATGTTGGAGTTGGCTACCGGCATTGGCACATGGAAAAATTGAAGAAAACACTGTAAATAGCGGTATTTTCAACGGTTGGGGAGATAAGGGAATTGGAAGCATTGTCGAACATGATGTTTTCGACCGGTTTTATGGCGACAAAAGTGTAAAGTACCGTGCTTTGAAGGAAACCATTGCAAAAACATGGAAACACATTCAAAGAACACGGGATTTGGGGGACTATCTAGGCGTCGTTGTCTAGCTATTTGAAATTCCGCAGCTTGGAGAGCCTCCAAGGGAGGGAAAAGTGAAAATTCCATAGCTTGGGAAGCTGTCACGGCGGGGAAAAGTGAAAATTCCCTAGCTTGGGAAGCCCCCACGGGGGGGAAAAGTGAAAATTCCCTAGCTTGGGGAGCCCCCACGGGGGGAAAAGTGAAAATTCCCTAGCTTGGGGAGCCCCCACGGGGGGGAAAAGTGAAAATTCCCTAGCTTGGGGAGCCCCCACGGGGGGGGAAAGTGAAAATTCTTAGCTTGGGGAGCCCCCACGGGGGAAAACCACCCTTAGCCCCTCTCACGGACCGAAATAAACCTGCGGTGTGGGCGGCCACCCCACGCGAAGCGGGGTGAATATTGCCAAAAATTGGATTTCGAAGCGAATGGGGACACCGCAAAAACTGTGATAATTCATGAACTTAATTCACTAGACTCGAACAAGGCCATTGTGGGATAGTTGCCCCTCCCAACCATAATTCCAGTGACGTGGGGTGAGGTCGTTGTAATTCAGAAGAAACCCCACCCGAAATCCATCGAAGTAGCTTGTTGCAGTAGGTGGAACTTTCCAAAACATAGGTTTCATTGTAAGAACTGTCCAAACCTTATCTGGGTTCCTTTTCAAAATTGGGCACTCCTGCATGCAATTGATTAACTATTGTCTTTAGTATGGAAATTGCCATAGATTAGTGCATGTCTTATGTTGAGAGACACTCCAATATCATAGAGTTGGTGATGTTTTCCCATCGTATCTAATTATATTTCATTGAACCCTATATAATGTGGCTGATGTGAGCCTTTCAACTCTATGGTTAATCTCCCTTTTTGTTGCTCGCCCCCTGCTAGATCTCTCTGCTGGAAAAGCGTCCTTCTTGGGCTCAGTCTTTGTCTTCAAACTATGGCGTTCGGCTTCATGGTTTAAAGAAGAAGTCTTTTTCTTTGGTCGTATGGTCTTCCTAAGGTGAAGATTTGCCAAAGTTGGTACGACTGTCATCCAGCGGGTCAAATCTTGCCAGCCTGACCAACTTTAAACGTGACCCAATTGAAATAATCTATAGAATATATAGGGACCTCCAATCGTGGAACGTTCATCTCCATATTATTTTCACATCATTGGGGTTTCTTGTGGGAGTCAAATGGGAGGAATGCGTGTGTTTCTTGGACTCCTTTCAGCCAGGCGGTGCTTATAGATGTCGCTACCAGGTAGTGCCAGGCTCATGCCGGGGCGGAAGTTTATCCATATTAACATATATTAAGAAATCAATGGCCTGTAGGAATGTGTTTGAGATACAGAAGAAATATGTTTTTCGAGCTGCTAGGCGTATCAACGAATGAACAAACGGTGGTTGAGATGCTGATGAAATGATGTGAAAGACATCATCCACAACTGACTTAAGTAACCAATCAATCCACGAATCGGTGAAGTCAGTAGTCATTCTTGACAGGCCTGCCAAATCTGCCAACATGATTTCTTGACACCGGCATCGCAGGGTCAAACATGGTCAAGCCAACATGCGATCATGTATTGGCGTGAAGCTGTGTTGGCAGACTATAAATGGTAGAATTCGAATGTAGTTCGGTCCATAGCGTGCTGAAACACTACATACAAATAACGAACATCATCGCGAAACGGAGCCAGCAAAGAATAAAGAATCCGATGCCGCCAATACAAATTCAGATGCCGCCACGTCATGCCAAAGACCACGCGTGTAGTGAAAAACTTTGCGGGGTTTAAGTTGCGTATGTATCGACACTTTCCCATACAGCTAATCCGCCACCAGTGGAAGGAAGTTTGTCATCCACCCCGGCCACTCAGCCACTCTGGCCAAGTGGCTGAAACAGCCACTCAGTCACTCAGACTGGCTGAGTGGCTGAGTGGCTGGTGTGAAAATTTCCGCCATTGCGCGCTCAATCCAATATTAGGGGGAAGCTTCGAAATCCAATTTTTGGCAATATTTGAATTGGGTTATAAAAGGAAATTTAGTTGATTTTGAAATCGAATAATATTCTTTATCAAGAATCAAGGGTTTAAATTTATTATTAGGGTCCGCTCCGAAATCCAATTTTTGGCAATATTTTAATTGCGTTATAAAAAGGGAAATTGATTTTGAAATCAAAAAAAAGTTTTTGTGATTAAGGGTTTGAATTTATTATTAAGGTCCGCTTTGGTTCCCTAATAATAAATATCCCCCTAATAATACAAACTACCTGAGGTGTTCATTATTAGGGGAGTGGTGTTTAGTATTAGGGGGAGAGGATTACAAACATCTAACGACCCGGCTACCAGAAGCCAGAACGCAAAAGAAATATTTGGAGTTGGAAGGTTCAAGCGCATTGCCGGAAAAATACCAGCAGT